GAGTCGGGGCCACAGCTCCGTCCCCCTCACCTGCCCCTTACAAGGAACCATGAAGTACGAGATGGATCCTCTGGCACACCTGGGATGCATCCCCTTCCTGTCAGGTGGCACTAGAAACAGGGCATGGGAGAAAGGAGGTCAGAAGTAGCTATGGAGATGGGGTAGACACACAGGAAATCATTATGTGTCCAGTTTTAACAGCATGTTTGTCATCTCTAGCTCAGCCTCTAACGCTGGGAGAGACCAACCCCCAACCCCCCATTTTAGAGCAGTGAAGCTGAAGTTTGCTTCTGAAGACACACTGGATGTCTGGGCTCCCCCACTTTTCAGTCACGTGACCTTGGGCAAGTCTTCACTCTTTCTAGCACTGCTGGCCCATCTCACACATCCCTTCCTACCAAGGTTTGGTGCCACAGGTGCCGGGGCCTTTGCCCCTAAGCTGAGAGCCAGTGGGCCTGGGAGGTGGTCTGCACCCTGAAGAGCCAATCAGCAGAGTCTGGTCTGATCTCGTGCCTCACCTGTGGCTGGCCTTGCTGAGGCACGAGGGGCTAGCAAGGGTCCAGAGGAAAGGGGAGCAAGCCAGGGGTTGAACCAGGCTGTTAGGGAGCCTCCTTCTGGATCGGGCAGGGAGGCCTGGTCCAGGGATTAAGCTGCTGACTGTGCCCCTTCTGGGCCAGGGCTGCTCTCCAAGGGTCCTCCCAACCCCTGCCAACAGCAGAGGTGGCTGCCTCGGTGTCTGGATTCCTAGGACTCTCCACTGTTCCGTGGAGCGTGACAAATGCGAGTCAGCTCTGGAAGGAGAGGCAGGTGCTCTGCTGTTAGCCTTTGTGCGTGGTGCACACACACCCATGGAGTCACTTTAAGCTAAAATCACTACATCACGGAGCCTGAGGGGGACGGGTTGCACAGGGCCCAGCACGGGGAGGATTCCCCACACAAATCCAGTGGATGTGACCCCAGAACACAAGTAACAGAGTCTATATTTAGGAGTAATTAGGATGTAGGAGTCTTGAGCTTTTGTTTTTGGATTTTGCTTCCTTTTTAATTTTCTAAAAAGGATTTTTCTTTTCTTCTTCCCTATATTATTGAGGTACAACCGATATAAAACATGTCGGAAGCGTAAGGTGTGGCATGTGGTGACTGATAGCTCCATGTGGTGAGGTTTGCAGTCAGGCGACTCATCCTTCCATCACACTTGCAGGGCCGTGTGGGGTCAGGACACCTGCGTGCGCCTCTCAGAGCAGCGAGTGTCCACACCACCCTGTCAGTGGTGGCGGCTGGATGCTTGGTCCGCACCCCCCCCCTTCATCATGGGACCGGAAGTCTGCTCTGTGGACCGGCATCTCTCCCACCCGCTGCCCTCAGGCCGTGGCAACCACACTGGGTGCTCATGTCTACGAGCCTGACGTTTTCAGATTCCACCTTGTGGAGACCATCATCTTTGCCTTTCTCTGACTTGTTTGATTTAGCATAATGTGTGCAAGATTCATTGAGTTTTTGGAATGTAATTGATTTAAGTGTAGATTATGTCATTTAACCTCAATCATGTTGTCTAACACCCAGCTCACAACACTTCTGAAGAGTGAGGAATCAGCTCTGGTGGCATGTGTCTGACTAGGGAGGGCCTGGAGCCCCACCATCCTATTCTGAATAGACAGGGAATTGAGGTCCAGAAGGGAGGTGGGATGGGAGCCCACAGGCAGGTGGGCCTGGCCAGGACTTGGGTCAGGCCACTCAGCACATGATCTTCTTTAATTCTCCCAGCAAGTCAGAAGATTGGGGATATTAAGAGCTTATTATGATCATTTTATAGTGGAGAAAACTGAGGCAGAATAACAGTGAGGGTATGAGAACAAGCACTAGAATTTGATGGGTCCCAACTGACATGCTGGTTCTGCACTTCAAAGATGTAAGCCCTTGGGTAAGTCCCTCACTCATGAGCCTCGGCTCCCCTTTTGTAACAGGGGCTGATACTACTTAACTCTCCAGATGTTCTTCGCTGGGACCTGGCTCAAGACCTGCTATAAGGTAGATGCTCCATGGTCAACACTCATATATCATCAAAGAGGTTGAGTGACTTGTCCAATGGATTGTCCTGTTCTTGTCCAATGTTCTTGCCCAAGATCATTCAATAAGGACTAGAGATGTGACTCAAACATGATGTGATTGACAAGGTGAAAAACAGGGGGTTGGAAGAAAGAGGGGAATCAGAATGAACCTTCAGTTCTTGACATATCTACATGTGACCAAGTGCCAACCCTATCCCCACCCTGGGTTGGTCATGTTCCCTAGAAGGCGGAAAAAGGAAATTAGTCCCCCACTTCCGCCCCACATAGGTGTGTTTGATCCTGCTCTGTCCCCAAGGTTTTCTTCCTTGTGGGGTTTTTGTTAGCAATGCTCAGGGACTGCATCTGGCATCCCCACTAGGGACAGGGATGGTGGGGGCAGGCGGCAAGGGGATGTCCCTTCCACATTGCCCCCAGGACTTCTGGAAGAGAGGCAGGATCATAAAGCCTCATGTTGGCCCATAGGAGGAGCTTGGGATGACTGAGACTCCCTCCACCTGCACCCCAGGACCCTCCAGGAAGGCCTCCAGGAGCCAGGGCCGGGCTGGCTGCTGCAGAGGGCTGTGCGGTGGAGACAAGGCAGGGGCCTCCACCTCCCCATTCTAAGAATCTTCAGATTTTCCTGGAAACTAAATTGCTTGGAGTCCAGACTTGCTGGCTTCTGCTTCACAGGGGGCTTCTCACTGAATCCTTTTCCCTTAAGAGCAAGTAACCGCTTCTCTGAGAGTTGCTTCTGTGGATCTGAGGTGAGATGGTCTGGGATTTGGGGAGAAGGTGGACCTGGGCTTCTGTGGAGACCAGAGGTCATCAGAAGCCAGGTCACCCAGACCCTGGGTCCTCTGTGCCTGCACCCAACACCCTTCTTGCCCTCTTTCTTCATTTCTCAGTGTTCTTTCCTCACCCTGACCCCATATCTCAATTCCTTCCATTCCTACCTCCTTCCTAGAGTGCCACCCCTCTTTCATCTACTTCTTTAGTAATATTCACTCAGAGTTTCTCTGTGTCAGGCTATGTTCAAGGTGCTGGAGACTGAGAAGTGAATAATATAGTTTCCTGAATTTAAGGATCTCCAAGCCCAGTGAAGACGTATCCATGAAAGGACAATGCTCGTTGTCTTGGGGGTGCTCGGCTATGGTGCTGTGACCATTAGGTCCCATCGTCATGCTCTCTAGGGACCCAGGGCTTGTAAATTAGGGGGAAACTTCTGGGCTGAGAGAATTTTTGAAGATATGTATTTTTAACATAAGTGATGTCCACATCACGTGGATTTCAAGTTTATTGTTCTATTTAAGAAATCATTCCCTGCCCAAGGTGATATAGATATTTTTCTGTTTGAGCCTAAAATTTATTGTTTTATCTTTACCATTTACCATCTGAGACTACAAATATCTGGAATGGATTTTTTGTACCATGTGAGGTAGCAGTCAAGATTTTTGCCCATGTGAATATGTGTGATTCATCAGAAGATATTCCCCAGAAATGCAGAAGAGCATCCCTTCCCCATTTAATTGTAGGATCAACTTAGTCATGTGTCAGTTGGCAAAATAACATCCATGGCTCTCTCCTGGGCTTTTTTTCTGTTACATGGATTTATTTGTCTTTCTGCCAGCGTCATAGTTGCTTAATTTTTTTGCTTGCATAAGTCCTAATTGACCAGACCCTGTTTTTTTTTTTTCCAATATCCTTCAAAATTTCTATGTAAAATCATAACTGGTTTAAATATCTGCAGATAAATTTGACTGTAATTTGGGGATTTGACTGAAACTTAATTGAATATAATAGGCAATTTCACATCTTTATAATTCTAATTATGCAATCCATAAATGTGGTTTATTTCCCCATTTTCTTGGTTTCCTTAATTTCTTTTTCCTTAATTAATTTCCCTTCCTTAATTTATCTCAATGTTTTTCTATACATTATTTCATTAGCTTTATCACTAAACATTTGACTTTTAATTCTGGCCTTAAGATTTTATTTTCGGGTGTTGGTGTAGGGAAGTGCGTTTGATTTTTGTATACTTGCTTATTAATTTCAATTTCAGAAGAAAGTGAGAAAAAAACAGCTACAATCTCAGGGCTGAAGAGAGTACAAAGTGCAGGCACTAAGGATTTAGGGGTTCCCTCCTGCTGCAGTCATGCCGCAGCGCCCTCTACTGACAGACCTCGTATTGCCAGCTTGCCGGAGGGGTATCTCTGGGATGAAGAGAGACATCAGGAAAATGCTCTCTAATAAAAAAAAAAAAATTAACAGGCAACTAACTGTAAATCAGAGACATTCTGCAAGGGAGGGGAGGTAGAGGAATCAAAACAGGGGAGAGACGAGCACAAGGGACTATGGTGATGGTTCATGGGTGAACCGGTGGTGGGAATTTTACGGGGAATACACCTGAGAGGAGAAAGCATACAAGCATGCATTGTACAAAAAGGAACAATGATGTAAATACACATATATAATATTTATAAATATATAAATAAATATATTTGTATATATAAATAAAAAATAAAATGATGTCTAAGATGAAAGGCATCTTCACATATATCACGTGCTTATCTTGTCTCTTAATTGCATCATTTTTCCTGCTTTAATCTCATAGAGCTTTGTTCATCAAGGCTCCTAAGTATAAAATCCATTGCTGATACCTTCACAGAATGATGTCACTTACTGATGCTTTTCTGAAAGTGTCCCTGTCATTATGTGATAGGTCGTGGTACATTGCCCCTAATTCTCATAAAGCCTGAAGTGTGAGTATTAGTCACATTTCAAAATGAGGAGACTGAGGCCCCAAGAGTTTGTGTGACTTGTTCAAGATTACACAGCAGAGCAGTGGGGCCAGAATTACAATCCTCGGCTGCTGGCCCCTGGGGTAGACTATCTTGCTCGACAACTATACTTCAGATGACAGGTAATAAGTGTGATTCTCTTCTAGGCCCCACCATGTGGATGTCTCCACGGCAGAATCAAAGCGGGGTTTCTGAGTTCATCCTAGTTGGCTTCTCTGGTGACCCCATGTCCAGCTGGATCTTCTTTATTGTCTTCCTCATCCTCTACCTGAGCTCAGTCCTGGGGAATGGGCTCATCATCACTCTGATCTGCCTAGACACGCATCTCCACACTCCCATGTATTTCTTCCTCTGTATCCTCTCCCTGCTGGATATGGGATACGTCACCACTGCCACACCCCAGATGTTGGTGCATCTTCTTTCTCACTCTCAGACCATCTCTTTTGCTTGCTGTTGGCTGCAGATGTATGTGTTTAGTGCCCTGGGCATTACTGAATGCATATTTTTTGTAGTCATGGCTTATGATCGCTATGTGGCCATTTGTTACCCACTGCGCTATACTGTCATCCTTAGCTGGAGCCTGTGCATTAAGATGGCATCTGGGTGCTGGGTTTGTGGTTTTTTCTTCTCTCTCATCCATACCTACTTCACCATGAGGCTGCCATACTGTGGACCCAACATTGTCAACCACTATTTCTGTGATGGCCCTGCAGTTCGATGCTTGGCTTGCATGGACACCCACCTCATTGAATTGGTGGACCTGGTCATCAGCTTCTTTGTGAACGTTGTCCCAATCTCTCTCATTGTGGCTTCCTACACCCGTATTGCCCTGGCCATTCTCAAGATCAAGTCCACACGAGGCCGCTGCAAAGCTTTCTCCACCTGTGCTTCCCACCTGACCGTAGTCACCTTCTTCTATGTTCCAGCCACCTACATCTACTTGAGGCCTAACTCCAGCTATTCCCCTGAGCAGGACAAGCTGGTTGCACTGTTTTATAATGTTTTCACGGCCCTGCTCAATCCTGTGGTCTACAGTCTGCGGAACAAGGACATCAAGGAGGCTTTTCTTAAAGTGATGGGGTGGGGCAGGGTGGTCTTGTGAACTGGGAGGATCTGGGGTAGAAGGTCCAATGCCAACATAGTGCTTGGCTAGCACCACCAATGTGGACTATGAAAGCAACCTGGCTGTCTTGATCAACTTGCTCCATTGTTGTGGAAGTGGCAACCAACTTTATAATCTCAGTGGCTTACAAAGCAAAATTCACTTATTGTTACATTCCATGTCAGTTGTAAGTGGATTGTGGTTTTTGCCAATGGATTCTCAGATTCCACTTGGAGGAATAAGTCCTATCTAGAATATGCCATTCTTCTGATCATAATAAAGGAACAAGGGCCAAAAGACATGATGACTCTAAAAAAAAATGTTCATAATAACACAAATCTCTTCCTTCTAATCCTGTTGGTCAAAGGAAGTCATGTAGTCAACCCTGATGACAAAGGAGCAAGAGATCCTTCCCTCTCATAGAAAAGTAATGCAGACCACATGGTAACTGATAATGGTGTACAATACACACACACACACACACACACACACAGGAGAATAGCACACAATGTGGATGGTGATATAATCTACAATAATGGCTCTGAAACCAAGAGAATGCATGTGGCCAGCATGAAATATGGTAACTGTGATCCAGTCCATGGAATTAGCAGAGGATCAAGGTGGTGTTTGCAAAGTAAACAATATCTGTAGCCAATGGTGTACAGCACCAGTTTAGCCCACAGACCTGAGTTAGTGCTTGGAACCCATGTGGGTTGTGGGATTAACATGTGGATACTCTGCGCAATGGTATCGCAGGGCACACAGCTGAGTAGTGAGATACTTAGTAGTGTCTCGATTTCTAGTTCCCATCTTGTAACTAGTTCCCATCTTGTATGACTTTGGGCAATTTGTTATCCTTCTCTGGACATCACTCATCTATAAAATGATCACCTTAAATTTAATGGTCTCCAAGAACTCGTTGTGTCTAACATTCTATATCACAGTAGATGGAGTATGTAAAACTCAAGTGCTATGAACTTGTGACCAATCTGTGAACCAGAAAGTGATAAGGACGCCATAGAAGATGAAAAGTTGCTGCGTGCAAGTGGGCTCCTGCAGCCACAATAGGCAACACCCAAAAGTAACTCATACTCTTCTGAGAGACCTCAATGAAAAATGAGGTCTCTAGGAATCCTGGTACCGCAGAATTTACACAGCCTTCACTGGGGCTGCAGAGTTTACACATCCTTCCTTCAGGTGTCACCAGTGACCCAGTGATCGTAGAAATGAGTCAAGTAAGTTCTAATAGTTCTGGAGATCCACTGTGGCTAACCAGCATCAGGCCCAGCTATAGGGGATGTGATATCCCCAGAGGAATTTCAGGTTGAGGTTATTGGGAGAGATGGTGCTGACCATTGGACTGAAGTTGGCATAACACAGAGAGGGGTGCTGGGAGATAGGATAGCAGGGGGTTGGGGGCAATGATGATGTGAATGAAGAGATTACTGAGCAACCAACCTGGGGATGATGAATGACTATAGAGTTTAAAACTTTTGGTGGAGGGCCTCCCCGGTGGTGCAGCGGTTGAGCGCTGGGTTGTGAAGCTGCCCTCAGCCTCTGCAGCGCCGGTTCGATCCCCAGCTGCTCCCTGGCTACCAGAGGAGGGTCCCACATGGCGCGCAGCCCTCTCCTGCCGCCCGCTGCTCCCCTCAGCAGTGTACTTCGGTCCTTCTGCCTGCTCTGCTCCCCGCTCTGGCTCTGGTGAATTCTCTCACCCTCCCGCACTTCTGACTGTCCAGTGCTTGTATAAATAAATAAATAAATAAATAAATAAATAAATAAAAAAAAAATAAAAAAAAAATAAATCTTTAAAAAAAAATAAAACTTTTGGTGGAATAGATATTTTATCCCTATTACTTAGGTACAAAGTTCAGTATTGGTTTTGTCCTAAGGTATTTACTCAGACATGGAACAGGGCTGGGGAAGGCAGGAGATATGGTGGGTGGCACAGGTTCACCAATGGACTCTAATTCCAGGCAGCCATTCCAGAGGATTTTAGGGAGAAAGTGAAGGGTTCCATGGCTATTGGTGTGTTCCCTTCTTCATCTGTGCGAGGGTAGGACAGTGTGGCTGGTGGAGGGGACTTGCCAACTGATGAGCATTTCCTGCTTCTGATTTTGTGGGGAAGGGGCTGTCTGGATAATGTGGGGGTGGTCTTCCCAGCTATCGGTGTCTGTATTGAATCAGTGATACCCATTTGATGGTTCATTGGAACCATCGCTACCTTAATGAGGACTTTTAGTTATTGAAATTGTTATAATTTTGATGCAGAGGCGGCTAATACTAACCACAGGAGGCCTATTAGATTTAAATTACCTTGATGTTCAAAGCCAGAACCTGCCAGTGTTGCCCCATGGCCGCATTTCCTTGAGTAACCTGTCATGTGACATTGATAAAAGATCAATGGTGACTTTGATTTTAAAATTCAAAGTCCAGTTTGAAGCAGGAAGATCTGGAATGGGTCTGTGGACTGAGGGTTGTCAGAATGATGAGAAGGATAAAATGAATGCCAGAAATTCCTGTCTCTTTTTCCCTTGATGATGAAAGAGTGAAGGCAAAACTTGGAGGTGTTTCTGCGAAGGTGAGTAGGTGCCCCTGATGAAAACTTGCCTCTCTGACTTAGTGTTGCTGCATTTCTTGGTATGACAGGTGTCATGAAGGCACACTTCATGAGATTCTTGGAGCTACTTGTCTGTGCCTTCTCCAAGGTCCTGGGGACCTTACACCCAGGGGCAAAATGTTCTGAGCGTGGTGAGAAGAGCCAGCACCAGCATGATCAGCTGAACCCGCCATGCTCGTCTGTATCTTTTGAACTAAGTACTGTATTAACACCACTATTACTCAACTGAGATTTGTTTATTCAAAATTCTCATATGTGGGATTATTGATAAAGGTATCTTTGAAGAGTGTTGACTTATTGTAATTAGAATCTGTTCATTTGATAACTTGAGAAGAGTCATACTTTTTTAATGTTTTGCGAACATAATATTTTTATGTTCATGAGCTTCTTGGTGACAGACCCAGGCTTGCTAACTCCACTCTACTTTTCATGATCATGTTCTCTCTTTTCAGAGAGCAGAGCTTTTCTAAGCTGAAGTGATCTCAGTTGTTTTCTTGTTGATTGTAGTGGTAGGAAAGAGAAGGAGAATGTAATAAGAGGAACGGCAGTGTTTAGCTATAACATGCAAAATGTCAAACACTGTTTTGAGAACTTTACCTACTTAACCTCCAGTAACATTCCTGTGAGGTGTTCACTTGCTGCAAAGTGTCATCTCTGACCCACTATAGTTTATCATAGCGGCTCACCTCGCTAAGGACAAGATGGACTGTGTACCCTGGGATCCACCCTGCCAGGGCAGTGTTTGTGGGGCGTGATGAGCAGTCCCTGAACCCTAGTCCTAAAATCACCTTTCCTTTCTCCCAGACTGTGTGTCTTTAGATCTGTCCATGTTCCTGACTGAGATGAAATAAAGTAGCTAATCTGGGTGCTGTGAGTCATCGGTCTCAACCATCCTGAGTTGATTTAATCCTGAATCCTCTTGCATTTAATCACTCAACTAGCAAAGGTTAATGAAGCTTTGTTTGTGCCAGATCCTTTGCTGTGCCTTGGGAAACAAAAATTTAATCAGACAGAGGTCCTGCCTTGGTACTCTCTCTACAGTTGGGTCTTTAAATGTCTGAACATAGGCCAGCTGTTGGAACCATTAACAAGTCCCACCCAGGTACCAATCTTCACATATCATACTCCTTAACTATCAGTCAGTGGTTCCTGCCTTTCCATTGGGTGATAGGAGATAAAGTGGAAGGACCACAGAACCTATAGTTTTGGGTTTGGTGCTGACTTCACTCAGGGGCCTTGCCCCAGCCTGTTAACTTAAGGAATGCCCTCTTCACATCTTTGTTCCTGAGGCTGTAGATGATGGGGTTGAGAAAGGCAGAGATGACATTGTAGAACAGGGCCAGCTTCTTGTCCCGCTCTGGAGAGGCATTGGCCCCTGGGTTCATGTACATAAACATGGCAGGTCCACAGAACATGGTGACGACAGTGATGTGGGAGGCACAAGTGGAAAAGGCCTTGAGTCGACCTTGAGCTGAGCGGATTTTCAAGATGGTGGCAAAGATGCACACATAAGAGGCCAGGATGAAGGATAGGGGTACCAGCAGAAGGATGAAGCCCAGGATGAAATCTACTCGGTCATTGAGAGATGTGTCCGCACAAGCCAGCTTCAGAACAGCAGGGACTTCACAGAAGAAGTGGTTGATTTCATTGGGGCCACAGTAAGGCAGACGCATTGTGAAGACAGTGTAGACGAGGGAACAGCTGACACCCCACAATCCACAAAATATCACCATTGCCCCACACAGCCACGGGCTCATGATAACCTTGTACCTGAGTGGGTGACAGATGGCTACATATCTATCATAGGCCATGATGGAGAATAGCCAGCCCTCAGTGATGCCCAACACCAGGAAGATGTACATCTGGGCCACGCACCCAGCATAAGAGATAGTTTTCTTCTGGGACACCAGATGCACCAACATCTGAGGTACCGTGGTAGTAACATAGCTCATGTCCAACATGGAGAGAACGCTGAGAAAGAAGTACATGGGTGTATGGAGGCGGGAGTCCAGGAATATCAAGGTGACAATGAGCCCATTGCCTGCAAGCGTGGAGAGGTAGAGGAGCAGGAAGACATTGAAGAGGATGACATTCACCTGGGAATCTCTGGAGAAACCCAGAAGGATGAATTCAGACACAAAGCTGTGGTTGTTCCAAGGGACGCCCGGCATCTTCCTTCAGCTGCAGGGAGAGAAATTGATCCATGAGTGGCCCGGCATGGGCTACATACTCACATACTATGACTATTCATGGGCTAGAAAGGCCAGTGGTTATTGGGGTACTATTTGGCACTAATAGGTTGGAGACTGAGGTCTCGCTGGAATGAGGCTAAATTTGGGGGAAGGGAGGAAAATCTACTTTGAGTTTTTTGTGCCTGTGGCCCAGATCTTTTCTCAAGACCTCCAGGGCCTCACTTCATTCCTTCTCTCAGCCCCAGCAAGGCCACCTGCTTTCCTCTCCTCCAGGGGCCATCACACATGACGTGTTGCTGAGGCTTTTCTCCTCTCATCCTGGCTGGAGAATGGGTTGATGGAAAATTGAAGATCTCCCCTCTTATTACTCCCAAAGCAATCACTCAAACCCTTTCCTTTGGTACTTTAAACTTCTGAGGTTTATATATACATGCACACACATATATAGGGCAAATTAGAAATGTGGGGAGACATACCACCCCAGAAATGTTAAACATTTAAAAAAATTTATCCATGCCTGTACTTCTTGAATTTGTCAGGAAGCATCCTCACATCTGATTTTATTTTAGATTGAGTTGCTCGTCAATGCCTCTTCTGGGTTCCTCCAGGGAAGGCTCTTCCAGTGTGATCCTAAAAGTATGATTGAGGCAAAAATGCTTTTTGGGTTGTTGTTTAAAAGCAGGTTTGGCATCTTTGGATCCCACCAGTTAGCAGCATTATCCTTACCAATGCTGACCTGCCCCTTGGCATCTCTTTCTCTGCTGGAATTGATATTTTTGATGGATTGATTCCTCGTAGTGCTCTGGGAGGTGGTGTGTTCTTGTGGAGGAGCATAGGATTTGGAATCAGAAGACCTGAGTCCAAGTCTTGGTACTTCTACTGGGTCCTGATCAAGTAGTTTAATCTGTCTGAGCCTCAGTGTTGTTCTCTGCAAAATGGTCTTAATACCTACCAGGAAGAGATTGTTTGAGAAGTAACCTATGATATGAGTGAAGTGCACTGTGAACAGCAGAGAGCAGGAGCCCAATGTTAGTCCCCATCAAATCCTCTTCTTCATAATGTCATTCATCGGTCAACAATGATTGCGCACCTATCACCTCTGTACTAGAGCTGGTGTTCTAGGCTCTGTACCAGGGGCTGGAACTACAAGGACAAAGTATATTCCCAATTCTCAAGGACCATACAGTCCCACTGGGGAAACAGGAAGAGACACAAGTGGCATTGCAATGCATTTAGCACTATATGAAAATATATACTGGCTGTCAAAACTCTGGATTAAGCACTAGGGATCCAGAAAGAAAATTCTACCTCCTAGCAGCACACACAGGGAGGAGACAGATAGTAATGAGTGGCAGTCAAGTGATAAAAACTGTGACAGGAGCAGAGCTAGGTGTCACAGGAGCTCATTAAAGGAGCACTTGGACCAGCCTTTGGGAGCTAGACTTCTTCAAGAGGACATGTGATATGAAAAGATGAGCAGGAATTAACAGAAAAAGACTCAAGGATGAATTTTACTTGCCAATGGAGTAGCAGGTGCAAATGAGCATCACCAAGGGAAAGCTTCTTGTAACCAGGGAGCCACGACAAAAAAGTCTGAGTGCAAGTTAATTTGCACAGAGTAGGAAGGAAACAATTATAAAGGCTTTGGCAGTCCTTGACAAGGAGCATGGACTTGGTCATATAGGTCATGGCAAATCACAGAGGAGTTTTAAGCTAAGAAGTAACTTTTTCAGGGTTAGGTTTTAGAAACATCAATACTTGGGTGGAAATTAGGAGAAGGCATTAGAAATTAGGAAGACCAGTTGAAGAGCATGGAGAAAAGATAGAAAGCTAGTTGAAGACAATGAAGAGAGATTAGAAAAAGGTGCAGGAAATTGAATCAACAGGACCTGGTAACAGAGATGCAGGAGGTGAGAAAGAGGACTTGAAGTATCAGGCTTGGGAGCCTAAGATGACAGCAGGACCACTTCAAGACAAAATGTGTGAAGGTGGAGGAGGAAGAGATGGGTGGGGTAGGAAATGCCTTCTAGGTGATAATAATTCTATATATGGGGTCTCCACGAGGAGCTGAAATATGGGGTCTCCACGAGGAGCTGAAATATGGGGTCTCCACGAGAAGCTGAACACCAGAGAGCTGGACATGTAGCCATAGAGCTCAGAAACATCAAAATTTGGAGAGTAATTAAGGCACTGAATGGATGAGAACTCTCAGGGACAGTTCAGAAAGCAAACAGATCCTCCAAAAATGCATCTTGGGCACATGAGTGGGGAGAGATGGAGCTTGAACAGCACCTCCCCAGAGGCAGAAGAGGGTGTGTTGCCCACCCAGGCAGCACAGCAGGGAGGAGTGCCAGAGGGTTAAACACTACAGAGAGGGCAAGAGGAATAAAAACTGCTCCCAAAATGTCACGGTGCAGAAGCTATTCTCGGCTTGGAGGTAGGAAATTTCTGTTGAGTGATGAGGGCAGAAATCAGATGTGAGTGGGTGATAAGGAGTGAAGTGGGCTGCAAAGAGGAGCGACAGCAGGGGAGGGGCGGGAGAGGGATCAAAACAGGGGAGCGGAAAAACAAAACAAAACAAAACAAAACAGGGGAGGGAATGTGTTCTTACACAAGGGGCTGTGGTGATGGTGCACGGGTGAATTGGTGACGGGAATTTTGCAGGGACTATACCTGACAGGAGAAAGCATGCACTGTGCAACAAGGAAGAAGGATGTATTCTCCTTCCAGCTCCACCTGGACCTGAAGCCTGGGCTGTTGCACGAGTCTCTTAGAAGACACCCACTCCCAGCCCCTGTTCCTTACCAGCCGCCAGAATATGGTGTAGAATTGAGGAGAGGAGGGAAGTGCAGAGGCAAGAGGGAGAGAAGAGGCAAATGAATGGGGGTTCTAGGCCCACTATGAGCTTCCTCTCTGGTCTCCCAGGGCCTGGCGAGGACTGAGCCAGAGAGGAATGCCATGACCTGAGTGGAGGCAGCTACTCTTCCCAGATGAAGGATCACAGTGGTCCCCAGTTCTAACCTCTCCTTCCAGGTCTCTGAATCCCCTGAACCTTCAAGGCTCTCCCCCCTATAACTTGTCACCCCTCCCTTATCTCTCCTGCCAGTGCCTGGCCCTGTATCCTCAGGGGCTGCAGAGAGCCAGCTCAGCTGCCTGGGCATCTTGGTGACAGCCTTCACTTCCTCCATCCACTGTTGTCCCCCTTAGCATGGAGCACACACGCAAAAGACAAGGAGGCTCGAGAGGCAGGCAAAGAGGCAGATCAATCGCGAAATAGAGAAAAACCAATGACAGAGGACAGAGGTCTGAGAGCAGAGTAGGCAGCCAGGTGTGGAGGCCCTGGTGTGGATGGGAGGAGGTGAAGGCAGCAGGGGCCCAGAAGCCAGCCAGGACAGGTGGGGAGCCTTCAGCAGGGGTGCTCTGGCGGGAGTGCCCTTCAGGCTCCCGCCTCTGCCCGTCCTCCCCTTACCTGGCACGGGGTTCAGTGAGGCATAAGCCAGCAGTCCACTGGGTCCTGCTTTAATATTCTGCTCCAGATCCTCAGGGGCCAGAAATCAGACAGCTTCTTAATGAGCCTCTGCGCAGTGGGCTTCTCCAGGCCCCAGAGCAGCTCCCCTGAGCACACATTTCACCATCCGGGCTGCCTCCCTGTGCCACACACCCAGCCCCCCTAGCCTCCCAGCCGCGCCCCTCCCCCCAGGCCTCTCCCTACCCTCTCCCAGTTCAAGGGGACAGTGTGTGGACATCAATTGGAGCAAAGGCATGGACTGGGAACTGCAAGGGCCAAGGCTGGGTGGGCATATCAAGGAAGGGTCCATGGACCATACAGAATGAACGGGTTTGGGGGAGTTAGGGTGGCAGGGAAACACTGCCCTCTGATCTCAGCACCCAGGCCCCTGCCCCACTCCCTCCATCATACTCTGCTGGGTTCTCCCTTGCACGCGTCTTGCATGTGTCCTGACGTCTTGTGACCCCAAAGATGGTGACTTCCGGCAGGGAAGGGAATGTCCCCAAGCAACTGTGAGACCCTTCATGGAACCTGGCTCAGGAGGAAGCAACTGATGAACCTCCACCTGGAATCAAGCCCCGAGCCATCAGAAGGTCTGATGTCAAGTCCGGCTCTGCCGCTTACCAGTGGGGAGGACTGTGCAGATCAGCCTCCCTGAACTTCAGTTTTCTTTGTCCTTAAAATGGGGCCGTAACATACAGGGTGCCTGTGGGGTTAAATATGACGGGCTACAGAGTAGAGGTAGCAAAGTGTGATATAGCTCATTTTATGCTCTACCTGACTCCCCAGTGTATGCCAGATGGTTGATCTGTTTTGTTTGTCCCATGAATGTTTATTTTCAAAATAAGACTCAGAGCACTGATAGTACAGCAGTGAGCATAGCTGACTTCCTAAGACTCAGAGGGATCAGGAAATACAGCTTCTTTGCCCCCCCCTTCCCACCGCCCCGCACAGGGCAGACAGCATCAGTCCCAAGGATAGAGGAGGGACAGAACCCCTGGGCTGGTAGGATGTGAGAAGTGTGAAGTAGCTTTCCTTGACTTGAAGCTTCCGTCCCTGGGGGCAAGTATGTTATTTAGAGATGGCGAATAGAGTTCTCTTATTTTTAAACTTTGGTTGGTAGTGACTGCCTGGAGGCCGAGTTGTGACAGGTTGAGCCCTGCTTTTTTTTTTTTTTTTTTTTAAAGATTTATTTATTTATTTATACAAGCACTGGGTACAGTCAGAAGCGCGGGAGGGCGAGACAATTCACCAGAGCCAGAGCGGGGAGCAGAGCAGGCAGAAGGACCGAAGTCCACTGCTGAGGGGAGCAGCGGGCAGCAGGAGAGGTCTGCGCGCCATGCGGGACCCTCCTCCGGTGGCCGGGGAGCAGCCGGGGAGCAGCCGGGGATTGAACCAGCGCCGCAGAGACTGCGGGAAGCTTCGCAACCCAGCGCTCAACCGCTGCGCCACCGGGGAGGCCTGAGCCCTGCTCTTAATTCAGTTCAATCCAACATTCACTGATGCCTACTCCGTATCACATTTTATGCAGGGATCATTGGTACAAGGGCTGTGCCCGCTATGAGCTCATCATCGGCTGAGGACTAGTGAGAACAGGTACACAGTGGTGAAGGCTGAATTGGGGCAAGCTAGGAGGACTGATAAGCTGTGGCTGGGGGCTTTTTGTAAGGGAAGCTAGATCTTGTTAAATGGAATGTATGCTAAGTTTCATCAATTGTTTTTTCAATATCCACAATATATCAAAATATATAGGCCCTTTAATCTGCTAACATAGCAAAACGGCGTGCACATCTGAGACATTTATTTCTTTCGTTAATAGGCAACACTTTAGTTAATTGATGTAAATGATGTTTTTCCATGGTTTTAGCTTGTTGAAAAAACTGTTCTTTCCCCCACTGATTTACCTCTTTTGAAGATCAGTTTATTGATAGCATATGTAAGGACTTAGCTCTAGACTTTTAATTCTACGGCAATGCTTCCTTTGTACTATTTTTACAATGCTGACCATGGAAGTGTGTATTTATTTCCGGATTCACAATTCCATATATTCTAGATACTGATTGTTTGTCAGATATGTAATTTGCAAATATTTTCTCTATCTGTGGCTTGTTTTTTAATCTCTTAACAGGGTTTTTTTAGAAAGTTCATTATATTAGTTTTTGATTTTGTGGATTTTTTTTAGTATAATGTGTAAAAAGTTGTCTTCTGGCCCTAGTTCACAAAGATTTTCTCCTATGCTTTCCCAAAAGTTTGGTAGTTTTACACTTTGCCCTTAGACATGTGATCCAGTTTTAGCCAGCATTTGGATAAGATGTATTTTTTTCTTATGTATGTTCAAAGGTTCCATCACATGTGTTGAAAACACTATCATTTCTTCATTCATTGCTTTTTCAGTTTGGCCATGCTTCTGTGACCTATTTTTGAACTATTTTAATTTATTGATATATATGTATGTCTGTTCACCAATACCATGCTGTCTTGGTATTGCTTATAATAGCCATATATCTTACAATTGGATAATGATTCTTGCAGCTTCATGTCTTTTTTCTCAAAATTACTTTAGTTCATCTAGTTACTTTACCTTTTTTTTTTGCAAACATTTTCAGGTCAGCTTATCCACATCAACAAAAATTCCTGCTGGAATTTTGACAGGAATTGCATTAAATAGTCGAAAATTTTGAGAGAACTGGCATCTTTACTATGTGGGTGTTTCAACCCAAGAACACAAAATGTCTCTTTATTTATTAACTTCTTTGACTCCTTTTATCAGTGTCTTGCAGTTCAGCACACAGATACTGTACTTGTTTTGTTGATTTATACCCAAGTTTTCATTTTTAACGGAGCTATTGCAAATAATATTATAGATAATATTAACTTCTTTTTTTAAATTTTTGTGTAGAAGAACTGGGGTGGGGTGTGTGTGTGAGAGAATTCACAAAGACAGAGAGGGTAGCAAAACAGACAGATCTACTGAAATATACTGCTGAGGAGAGCAGTGGGCAAGACAGGAGAAGTCTGCTGCACCATGTGGGTATCTGCCTGGCCGGGGATCGAACTTGTGCTGCAGTGACTGACAAAAACTTGATAGCTGAGACTTTAACTCCTGTGCCACCAGTGAGGCCCACATTTTGTTTTGTTTTTTAACATACACAGTTATGTTACCTGAAAATAGAACAGTTTTAATCCTTTCTTTGCTGTCTTCTCATTCCTTGCCGCATTGCACTGGCTAGAATGTCCAGTGCTGTTCTGAGTAGGAGCACTGGAAGAAAGCATGCTTATTTTGGTCTGATTTTAGGGGAAGACAATCTTTCACCACTCTGTGTGATTTCAGCCAGAGATTTTTTTTTTTGGTCAATGTGTTTGGTCAGAGTAAAGAAATTTCTTTTTTTCCTAGTGTGCTGAGGTTTTTTCCCCTCAAATCATGAATGAGAGAAAGAACATTCCAAACCACATGCATTTGTGCTGTACGCTAATATATTTGAAGTGACATGTGAGTCATTCTTGGTATCAGAGTCACTCAAGGTCAAGATAAGTGTTGCACTCTAAGAACTCTTTCCACGCGGTGCTTCTGAGGCCAGAGTCAAGGCTTAGTTGGTGGTGCTAAGAGTTCCAGGAGAAGAGAAATCTCACCCACCTGAAAGAATTTGGGGAACTTCCTGAAGAAGAGATCTGTGTGAGGCCTTCAAGGATGAGAAAGGAGATATTGCAACCAGTCCCAGCTCCTCAGGCCCTTGCAGGGGCTGCTCACCTGGAGAGCCTGGTACCCACCTGCCTACAGACCCCTTCCTGCTGTGGTCTCCGCTGCTCTGAGGGCTCTAAGGAGGAGCCCCATTTGTTCCAGCAGATGATCCTCACAAAATCCCAATAATGACCCCAGAGCAATTTTCCTAACAAGCCCCCAAGAAACACAATCAACACTTCTTGCTGACAATTCATTTTTCTCTGGAAAAATCAAGGCTTCTCTATTTCTCCAGGGGTCCCCTCCTCAGAGACTGCGGCCTTCAGGCAGGAAACCCTGGTGCTCAGATCCTCCTCACAGTTCCACATCACTTAGACTCATATTCTTCCAATGCTTGGAGAAGGCTGAAAGTTCTCTAGGCTGCCAACTGCCAGAATTTATCTTCTTCATATGTCTCTGTTCCAGTGTCTCCTCCAGTATTTCTCCCTCCAGCCTTCTTTCCCAAGTCCTTTTTAGCTCCCTGCTCAACTCTATCCTTCCTTAAGGCGGGCAGGGAACCAGGCAATTACACTTTTCTATGGGGATTACACTGTTGAAAACCTCGAAAGCAGTTCTCTCTGCATCCTTTCCTAATATTTCCAGTGGTCAAATTAATGCAGAAGTGTTTTGTTCTAGATGTCACCTTCATTCTAGGCTCCTATTAAGTCCAAAAACTTCAGTGAAAGTGTGCATGGGCAGACAGAGACCGGAGATCTTGTAGACCGTGCTAATCCATGGCTATTGAGTGTCCTCACTCTTTCCAATGAACTTAAGGAAAGCCCTCTTCACATCCTTGTTCCGAAGACTGTAAATGATGGGGTTAAGAAAGGCAGAGATGACATTGTAGAACAGCGCCAATTTCTTGTCCTCCTCAGGTGAGGCCTCCGAGCCAGGCCTCATGTACATGATCATGCATGGAATACAGAACATGGTGACCACAGTGATGTGGGAGGCACAGGTAGAGAAGGCCTTGATTCGTCCCTGCGTGGAGCGAATCTTTAGAATGGCCATAAAGATGCGAACATATGATGCTAAGATGAGGGATAATGGGATCAGGAGCAAGATGAAGCCCAAAATAAAGTCCACTTGATCATTAAGGGATGTGTCTGCACAGGCCAACTTCAAGACAGCAGGAATTTCACAAAAGAAGTGGTTGATCTCATTGGGACCACAGTAGGGAAGTTTCATTGCAAAGACTGTATAGATAAGGGCACAGGTGAGACCACAAAGGGCTGAACTGACTACCAGGAGTACGCACAAGGTTTGACTCATCTTGACCCCATAGTGGAGTGGAAAGCATATAGCGACATATCTGTCATAGGCCATGGCTGCAAAAATCCAGGTCTCAGTGATGCCTAAAGTCAGGAAAATGAACATCTGGACCACACACCCAACATAGGAGATGGACTTGTTCTTGCTTACTAGATGGACCAGCATCTGGGGCACTGTGGTGGTGGCATAGCTGAGGTCCAGCAGAGAGAGGATGCTGAGGAAGAAGTACATGGGCGTGTGGAGACGCGCATCTGCTCTGATCAGGGTGATGATGCACCCATTTCCTAGGACTGTAAATAAGTAGAGGAAGAAGAAGAGAAAGAAAAGGATCCAGTTGGTCCTGGGGTTTCTGGAGAAGCCCAAGAGGATAAATTCAGTTACTGAGCTGTGATTTCTCCAGCCTTGACTATGCATGGCCTTCCTTCTGAGGAAAGAAGAGAACATATGTATTCTGGAACTCTTTGCAGGCTCACTGAGAGAATGCCTCTGAGATCCACAGTTGCAGGGACCAAAGGCATCTCAGAGCTAAACAATCAAATCAACATATCTACCTCCACACCCAGGGAACATTCTATGTAAATGGGCTTATCATTTATCCAGGCAGTTAGTTGAGATTCTGTAAATACTTGTCTGCCTAACAAACTAGTTCTGTTAAAATTCAAGGACTCTGTGGGAGGAGTTGTGCATGGCAAAAGCCTTATTTTGAAAACATACACACCATAAACCCAAGTGAGGAGGGTAGGGAAATACACAGTTTTCCAGTAAATCAAAAAGTTCAAGAGCTCTCTGCAGTTTCTCAAGCCATTTCCCCCCCCCCAAACATCAAGACTCACAGGTGTTGCAAAGGACGGTATAAATGTGAAACAAAAACCCTAGCTGATCTTCAACCTTCTTCCTCTCTGATGCTGTACCTTTGAAAACCCACACACCATAAATTTCCATGAAAAGAAGGAATTTCAAACAAACTTTTTAGGGGAGAAAACTCTTTTCCTTAGAGTCATTATCCCCCTCACCCCCATCTTTCCTTCCCTCCCCAAAGTGGTTTCAACTGTAAAGAACAACTGTCATGTAAAGATGGCCAGAGACTCCACCACTGCAACCTAGAGAAAATGTAAGTGCATTTCTCATGAAAAGGAAGTATAGTTATTCAGGTGTTAGGTGCTTTGTGACTGCAAGATTTCCAGACCAGTAGGGGTTTCTCCACAGTTGTGCTACTCACAGAAGAAACTTGAGCAGTGGGTGGCAAAGACCATCAGTTCTGGATTCAGTCCTCCGCCCTGCCTTGGACAAAGTCTGAATATCTTTTCTCTTAATCCCAGTGTGAATGACTATGACAGAACATTATCACCTGGATATGTACCGTTTCCAGACCCCAAAGAAGGAAATAGTCATTTATAAAATGGCAGTCTGTAAAATGTTCTAGTAAATGTGATCTCAATAGGTTATCACCACAGTCCACAGAGGTCAGTATCACTATGGTCATTTCATAAAATCAGCCATCCACGGTAAGACAGAGAGTAAGTCGTGGAGCCAGGACTCAGCTTCCAAGCTATGTGCTCTTACCACCACCATCAGCTGAACTGTGCCCTCAGACAGCTAAGCCCCATGCATGGTTTAACAAGTCACAGAACATAAAATAGGTCCACTTTTGGTTCATTGTGAGACAAAACTGACCTGTGTATTAACACAGAAGAGAGAAATTTCATATTGCACAGCATTGCAAATTGCCAGGTTTTTTAATAGAAAATCCCAAAACCATGGAATATAAATATCAATACCTACAAGATTGTGTTGTAGTGAAAATAGTTATCCATTTGGATTAAAATAACACCACATAAGCGCATGAATGGGACTCAAGCTGAGGTGAATGAGGAAGAAATGATATTAATACTCAAGTTAATGTTAGAGCAGTTTGCATTGGTATAGGAATTAGCAGAATCTGAAGTTGATCTTCATTGTGCTGTGTCCTGAGTCTAAAATATTAGTATATGCTGATAACCCAAAGTATTTACTTAAGCTGGATCTCACATCTTCATCTATCCAATTGCTTACTTGAAGTTTATCTTCATTTGGTAGACATGTTAAACTTAACGTTTGCTAAAATCAAACTTCCAATCCCCTGTAAATTTGCTCTACTGACAACATCCTCAGTTCAGCTCATGGCACATCCATCCTTTGAATCTGGGCAGGCTAAGGAAAAAGAAACCCAGTCTTTCTAATTTTTCTCCCACACCCCATGTGCAATACATTATAGAAAATACCGCCAGTTCCCTCTAAAAGATGGATTTTCCCCAAAGATTTACTTCTTCTCCATTACTACTCTGGTCCAAATCATCATCTTTTCTTGCAATATCCCCTAACTCGTTCTACCACTCCCACTCTCCCCACAGTCCACTTTTAGCATAGTAACTAGAGTGATCCTAATAAATTGTAGGGTGGATCATTTAAACATTATGTAAACCCTCTTATCAAAACCCTCCAGTGGTTTCTTGTAGCAATTGGAAGAAAAACCAAAATCCTGATGAGGGCTCCAAGGGCCCTCCATCACCTCCCTGGCCTCATCTCCTACCTCTCACTTCTCATTCTGTCTTCTCCAGCCATACAGCCTTTTGCTGCTTCTCATTCAAGACATTTTCCTACCTCAGAGCTTTTGCATTTACTGTACCCACTACTAAAAACTCTCTTTCCAGATCTTTGTGATCCATGCCCTCACCTCCTTCAAGGATGTGTTCAAATGTCATATTCTCTAGGAGTACTTGAGTCTTTCCTGACCACCCTATTTAAAACTGAGGCCCGCATCCCACTCTCCAGGTCAAAATTTCTTCTTAGTAGTTAGCATTTTCTAATGTACTATGTAATTTTTAATTGTCATTTTCCTTCACAAGAATTTAAGGATATTTATCTCCTTGTTTCATTGTATATCATCTGATTATAGAGCAGTGTCTGGCATGTAGTAGGCATTATAAACGTTGGTTGCATGAGTGGAATGAATCTGAGCTGGACGGCTGAGGGAGAAGCCACTGCTTTTAACCTGTGATGGAGCTATCCTTGGTGCTGAAGTTTGCCTAACCATTGTGCGGACGTCATTCTGGAACTCTGGGATTTTTTATCAGATGCTATTATTACCAGTATTGTTAAATCACTCCTTAGTTGAAATGCCATTCTTTGCTTTCTTCTCTTAGTAAAATAATAATCATGGAAGTCTTCTGTGATTCCCATTATACTCCTCCTTCTCCCATTTTACTCTCCTTTTGATAACACCTTTAATGTCATTACTCTCCATACCTATGCTGGTACAGACACTGGAGGAGTTTCTGAAAGATGAAGAACCATGCCTTACCCCTGTATCTCCAAATTTAGTAGAAGACATGGGTATTGGTTAATGCATATTGTATTAATGACTTTATGGAGTTATGACAATGGTTTTAAAGAGTTTGTTGCAAAAAAAAAAAAAATAGATTCCCAGTCCAGTTCTTCTATTACTTTCTCTCTCAAAACAACTATCAAGGTTTTCTTCCTTGAGGAATTCTACCCAGGTTATCCACTCCCAGAATAAACAAATTTCTTTTCTTGGCAATTTTTTTAACTGAAAAGAGCAAAGTCAAATAGAAAGCAGGATAAATGAAACCAAGCACACGTGGATAGACATTGTATTATATTCCTCAAAGACACTTCTATTCTATTCTGTGCAACTTGAAATGGCATTAAAGTGAGTAATAAGGAAGGTATAGAAAATATTTTTATGTAGCACTTAACATGGATCGGTGACTTTACATCTAAGATAGGATGGATGTAAGAACATGGATGTTAAGAGCATGGGAACTAGAATCTGGCCTGGGTTCTAGCCCTCACTCCATCTCTAAATAAAAGTAACCTTGGGAAAGTTGCCTAAACTTTGTGTATCTATGTCTTCTTCTAGAAACCAGTGATAAAAGAAGTAATTTATACTGATGATTAATTAGGATATTACATGCAAACTTACTTAACACTGTGCCTTCAGAGCAGTCAGCCCTCAAAAACCAGTACTATTATTGCTATATTATTTTATCCTCATAGTCCTTTTTCAAAAATTCTGAATTTCTAAAAAAAAAAATTGGGACCTGATGTTGCATAGTATTAAAGGATACAACCCAAATCTGTCTTTCTCCAAGGACTTCTTCACTGGACTCATTGCTTCTGCACCATCCATAGATAGCAATGCCCCAGAGCTGGACTAACAGCAATTTGGTGGGGGTATCCTTCCTAGGCTCCTGGACTAGCCCTTCATGCTCCTTTCTGATCCTTCCATTGGACCCTTCTGATCCAATGCCCAGTACTCACCCCTCATCCACACCTATGTCTCACAATTGCCTTGGGCACCTCCAGCATACATACAGTGGTCTCTAAGAAGGTCTTATTTCAGCTATTCTCCAGAAGCCACTGCATTTCAGCAATTCCCTGGGGGAAAACAGATTGGTGCTTTAATGAGGCCCCTGGGTGTCATGGATCAAGAAGTACTTCCTCGGGGTACAAAGAGATCCCGGTCACCTCAGGAACCTTCCTGTCCTGAGGGATCCCATTATTCTAGAGAAGGTTAAGCAATGGGAAGAAATCAGGATTGAGAGAAGAGCTGTATGTATCCCAAAGGAATCCTAGGGTTATAGCAAATACTGTTGGTTCCCTTTAAAAGATGGATTCTCCCAAAAGATTGACTTCTCCTCCATTACTACTCTGGTTCACATCATCATCTTTTCTTGCAATATACCCTAACTAGTTCTACCACTTCCATTCTCCCCATAGTCATAGTCATAATACAATGTCCATCTCTGTCTCTTACTACCTTTTTTAACTGGAAAATATTTTATCTGATATAAGTATAGTTATTCCTCTGGTATCCCTGCTTTTGCTCACCTGGTTTTTTTTGTTTGTTTGTTTGTTTTTGCTTTTTTACAAGAATGATTATAACTTTTACCTTCAATTCTCCATCATGCAGTTTGTGCAATTCTGCTAGATTGAGATTTCTTTCAGGATTTTTTGTTCCATCATTTGTGGAATGTTCCTCTGTCTCTTCTTTTTTAGTTTTTGGGGGTTAAGGGTTAGTTTTCTTTTCTTGTCTTGATGAATTGGCTTTATATTATGTTCACGATTGCAGGATACAATCCTAGGTTATTTACCCGGTATACTTAAGTGTTTATCACTTCACAGAGTGAAGCCTCTGTCCCTGCTCAGATGACCAGAGCACTGGCACCAGCAGGGGGTAGGAGCCAGGAGCCAGTGAAGCAGGATACCAGGAGGTTGTTACCAGTAAATATCAAGAGTTCAAGCCTCCTAAGACGCTGTGGGTACTGGAGTTGGGGACATACACTCACCCCCATCTCTTAAGCCAATTCTTCGGTTAAAATACCCCAAATAATTGCCTGTTAGCTTTAACATCT